AGAGAGACAGAGAGAAGGAGAGAGGGGGGAGGGAGAGGGAGAGAGAGGACAAGATACTTGTTAATGTTACTAAAAATCATCACCATCATACCCACTGTATGAAATAAACATTTAAAATAAAAAAACATAAATCTACATCATTCTTTGTCTAAGAATGTGGTTGTCTTATAAGTGAGAACACTGGCTAATGTAAGCCTCATTTAAAACCACTTGCAGTATTTAATGGTTATTGATGGCTGCACAGGAAGGTACCTCAAAACAAAAATGAAGGTGCAAGGTAGTTCCCAACCCTAGCACACATGTTAAAACAGCTTAAAAGTATCTTTATAGTCAACCATATATATTTCTAATTTTTATATTATTTTGTTCTGTGCTCTGATACACATTCCCTTCATAGGAAAATGAGAATGATTAGCTAGCTTAATTTCTTAACACTTTGTTTAGGATGGGAGTTCAGCAAGGAAGTAAGACAGTGATAAGTGGTAACAGCCAGAGTTGAAGTTAGTTACCATAAGAATGAAAATACTGTCCATAGGATGAACATACTCAAACCCTTCAAGACATTTACCTTACAATATCGTAAAGCTTCCATTAATGTTAAGAATCCTACAGCTGCTTGTTCATGGATACCGAGAAGTTCTGCAAAAAATAAACAAAACCAAATTTAACACTGCTGTATATGTAAGTCTGAGTTGTGTGTGTGTGTGTGTGTGTGTGTGTGTGTGTGTGTATGTGTGTGTGTGTGTATATGTGTGTGTGTGTGTGTGTGTGAGCATAAATATATTTATATTCAAACCATGCCAAAATGTTTTCACCTAAAGCTATCTTTAAACCTTTGCACATATTTATTGATACATCAAATCAAGCCAGGCATGGTGGCTCACACCTTTCATCCCAGCACTTGGCAGAGACAGTCAAGATCGTTGAGTTCAAGGTCAGCCTGGGTTACACAGTGAGTCCCAGAGCAGCCAGAGCTATACAGAGAAAACCTCTCTTGAAATCTGCCTATCTCTGCCTCCCAAGTGCTGGGATTAAAGGTGTGTGCAAAACATGGACATTTCAAGTTATCCCTTTTGACTCTAAAATGAAACCAGAGGTATACTTAAGGCTGGGGAAACAGTGTAACTAAGAAATAGTCTCTGCCTTATGAAAGCTAAGAGTTTTCTAAGGGACACATGAGAACAATGGTGCTCTCTACATATGTACATACATATATGTTGGGGCCCATAGAAATGGCTCTGTTCCACACTGACTTAAGGTCAGAGAGTTCAAAACTACCCTTACTCTTTCAAAATTAAAGTTCTAAGATGTGGCTACTGAAGGATGTTTGGCCTGAAGTGTGGATGTCTTACCTAGGTAACAGAATACTTGATCTAAGGTTACTAGATGTCTTAATCTCAAGGCCAGATAACAAGAGGTTTGATCTAAGGTGTGGTTACTAGATGTCTAGAGAATTAAGGAAGTTATTATGTCTGTTTGTTCCTTGCATCATGGTAAAGGTCTTTTGCCTTTTCTCCCTTTTTGTTGGTGTATAAAAGAATTTTGAGTGATAAACTTAAGGCAGATCCTGGTATTCATCAGGTGCTCTCCCAACTCTATATTCTGTCTTTAGTTTGTTTCTTTCCTCAATCCACTCTCCCCCTTGGGTATGGACTGGATAAGTTGGTAGGACCTGACACATACATACACACACTCATGAAGAATGGATGGAGTGTGGCAAAACCTGTTTGGGGGTAGGGAAGTCTTAGAAGAATGGCAACACTGGAATTGAATCCTGTGGCATGTGTAGAAAAATTTCAAGACCGAAAAATAAGAAAATTTAAAACTAAGAAATATGAAGAATGAAAATAATGTACCGAGGTAAAGGATAAAAAGTTGTCAGAGCTTCATGCTGTTTCAATATGGCTTCTTATAATGTTGCACAGGATGGCCCCAAACCCTTGGCCTCAAGGGTCCTTCTACCTTAGCCTACTCTGTACTTAGAACTACAGGTGTGTGATATCACTCACAATTCCTTAAACACATAAAACATGTCAAACCCGATAAACAGTGATGAACTGAAAGAAAGAATTCAAGAAACATGTTCTAAATTTGAGTGAAGATTGAACATGACTTTACTTTTACACAAACAGGGCCTGAAGTGCTTTTGGGACTTCTAAATGGAGATAAGCAACTGTCAGGAGAGCTCAGAAGCATAGGCTAGACCAGCCAGGTGGAATACCAACAGATCACCAGTATAAACTCACAGATGTCAAGTAAAGGAAGTGGTAAGCCACAGCAGCCAAGACACAGAGGACACTGGTATAAGACACTACTCACATATAGATGGACCTGAAGTGCTAGCATAGCTAATGTACACTAAGTACAAGTATAGTACATTAGGACCATAAACATAGATTAAAAAACTTTTCCTCAGGTACACTTTCCAATATGAAAATTATTACTATCTACAAGTAAAATCTATTTGGAATTTTTAATGAATTTTAGGATTATTAACAGTTTAAAATAAAAAGTTTTAGTCTTTGGGCTGCAGCAACTATGGGGGTAGGAGTACAGCAAATGCCAAGATGGGTAGAAATGATACTCTACAGTTAGCAAACATCCCATTTCCTTTCCTCTGGAATATAAGCAGTAACAAAATCTTCCTATTCAAGGACAAACCAGGTTCTACAATTTTATTTCTAAAATCAATTACCACCACCTAGTGTCACAACTAGATACTACATCATCTATTTCCTTGGGTTTAGCCAAATGTCTACAATGGTACATTTAAAATATCAAGCAACTCAACACAGCAAATTAGGCCTTCATAAATCTTGGTGATGTTCAGATCTGGTCAAAAATCACATACTCACGTATCTTTCTTTTCCCCCTCCTGACTGTTTCTGAGAAAAGGTTTCACATACCTAAGCTGCCTGAATGTACCTTGTAGCTGAATATAGCCACGAACTCTTGATCATTCTGCCTCTACCTTCCAAGTTCTGGGATATAAGAGTATACTACTATGACTAGCATTGGACAATAGTATTTCAAAATGTGTTATTCTCACTCTCCCCAAACAGGATATATACTTAATATTACCTTCTTAGATTAAGTATATCAACCAAAATATACCTAAATTTATATTTATACCAAGCAGTAAGACAGTGAGGATATATTTTTCATAACATTTATAGAACTTATTTACATTAGATTTTCTTTAAAGGTCTCAAAGTCTTTACCCTTTACTTGCAAGAAATTGGTAATTTTATGACTATTTTGTCTTTGTCAATATCTCATCTAAATTGCTGACTGAACTTTCAAAACTGCTATTTAGTTTAATGGCAAAGAAACAACTATTCTTTGGCCAGAAGGTAATATTTAATTTTATCTATAATTCACAAATAGAGGTTGTATATAATATACAACAATTCCTAAAATATGTATTCATTGTAGATTAGCTAAAGTTAATTAACACCCAGATATGACTATCTCAAAAAAAAGGAGAAAAAAATCATCTAAACCAGAGATTTGAGCATGTGATTCTTTTTTAACCTCTTTACATATTTATTACAACCCTGTTCAGCCAAGTTGTAAAATCATCCCGAGTACCCATCAATAGGCAAATGAAGAAGAAAATGTGACCTATACACACCAATGGGATTTTGTTCATCCACAAAGAACAAAATTATGTTATTTGCAAGAAAATGGATGGAATGGAAGATCATAGTGTTAACTGAAAGGAGACAGACTCCAAACAAGAAATATCATGTTTCTTTCACATGTGGAATTGACATGAAAGCCAAAGAGATTATTAGGGTTGTGTAAGGAAATGGGGTGAGAGGCAAAAGGAGAGGAGATGAATACAGTACAACTGCATCATATAGCATGTGATTCTTGCCAGATCTAAATAATTCATCACCGGGAATATATGAAGGCCTAATTTTCTGTATTTAGTACCATGATATTTTAAATGTACCACTGTAGATATTTGAAAACATATATATATATATGAAAACATATATATATATATATATATATACAGATACATATATATACATACATAAATATGTGCCTCACATATATATTTTGAGGATAACAATATTTACAGTCTATTCTTGGCAATTTTCAAGCAGAAACAC